TGCAGCACTAATAATCAAACCCGTTGTTCGAGATCTGGGCTTGTTGTAAGTCGTTTACGATTTGTTTTGGCCTCTTTTCAGTTTTTTATATACATTTTTTTCAGTTTTATGAAAACTAAATAAATTCATTGTTTTCACTAATTTGATTGGCGTCAAAATTCATTTGCGATTCGCAGCGCAGCTGATTAATCAAAATGAAGTCGTTTTTTTCTTTGGTATTTCGTTTCGTAGCAGATAAACGCAAATTTTTTAGTGGCACTTAATTAAAAACCCAAAGATAAAAAGCATATACAAAAACCAGTTTTAAACGTTTCAAGACGAAAAAAGATGAAGAAAAAATAAAAATAAACTGCGGCGTAGCGTTACATTTTGGCATAAATGAATAAATTATATAGTTTATTGGAATTTGATTTGCTTTAGATATGTATATTTATGCAACCATTGAATTGATTGATGCAGAATGCCAGCCCAAAGCTGCTCACACAAAAACTGACAAAAATCTTTTAAAAAAAATGGTTTTATTTTTTTTCTCTGTTAAGCAACAAAGTTGATGGAAATACTCGGCTGCGAAGGATTTATGGGCTTAAATTAATTCACATTTAAAAAATATATTGATTAAATATGTTTGCTAAGCGGAGGGTAAACCAAGAAAAAAATAGAGCACATTTTATATCAGAATGATATTTTTAACATATGTATTACTTGACTTTTTTGATTAAATTGTTTGGAACATTCTGCTATCAACTATTAATTACTTGTTTTGTGCATTAATCTTAAATTTGGCTTTAAGGCTTCAGTCAAGCTTTGTTAGGCAAACATTAAGGTCGATTTGCCACGCCCACAAGGGCAACGCTGTCGGCTCTTTTGCCAGCCCCTCCTCCTCCACACGCTGCCAGCAATTTAAAATCGATTAAAAATCGACGCCTAAAGACCACCTGCTGTGCTTTGTGGTCGGCGATCTGTGCCATTGGAGCTGAAGCCAAAGCATCTCTTCTATTTCAATTTCATCGTCATATAAAATACCCATTGAAAATGTGTCAAGAAGGAGTTTAATGAAGTTGTGCAGCGGTTTGTATAGAGGCAGGGGAAGAGCACTTACGAACCCATTAATGATATATTTCAAAAGTCGAGTTGATTGTCTGTCTGTTTGTCTATATGAACAAGCCAATGTTTGATACTATTTGGACTAGAGAATTATAAGTTCTCGTAAGCCAAATGCAAGAGAATGAGCAGTAATGGTAAGCAATTGTAGCAAAGTCAGATTATCTAGGCAGCTACTGACTGTCTGAATATGGGTAGAAAACAAAAAATTGTGGAGGATGCTGAGCAGACTGTGTCTTAAAAATGACGAGACTCGAGACTCGAACTGAGACTCTTAAAGCTAGGGACTTGCCTCCTAAATACTAATGAATGCTCTTAGAGCAAGTGCAATCAAGAACTTTAAGACATTTTAGAGAAGAAGTAAGGCACAATAGACCCACGAGATCGCAGTTTTCAGTCTCTATAACAATAATAATAAATATCATATGCAGATCCAGTTTATTTTACAATCAAAGACACATCAGTAAAGATAAAGCCTTGCAATTGAAATTTGCTCTTATTTATCAATTGAAAAACTTGCATTAAGATCGATTTTGCTAACCATTCATCTATATTCATGTTGAACAAGTTTTCTATATATTTAACAGCTGTGCTTAGGGTGTCTCCCAGTCGACCTCTTTCGACCATCTCATTCTTATTTCATATGTTTTTGTAGCCATAACTTTCGGGCCGTCTTTTGAGCCAAGGCGTTGCCCCCTCGCGTACATTGTTTATTAGAATTTTAAATGTAGGCAGCGTTTTACACACGTTTTCAGTAGCTCAACAACAGCGGCGACAAAAAGCCCAAGAAAATAATAAAACAGGCCACATATTAATATTATTTATTTTCTATTGGTATAGTAACAAAAGCTAGGGCCAACACTGCATTGAATTAACGCGTGCCTGGCGGGACAGCCCTTTTGTGTGTTGTGTCATAAATATTTGAAACAGCTCAAATATTTCGGTTATTAACTGCATGCGGCCAATGCCAAATAATAATCATAAAAAGAAACTTGCTTAATGAAGCTTTAATTGTCGCTTTTCGATACGATATAATACCAATAGCAATACCAATACCAATACCAATACAAATACCAATTTCAATAGCAATATCTTTTCCTCTATCAAGTTTTTATTGATTTTCGGCCGGCATGCAATTAAAATTCATGGCATTTTATTCACTGGCTCGGTTTGGGCCACCCGCACAAACAAAGTCGTTATGGTCATTTGATTTCGTTTACCACTCGACATCCTTTTCATATTTGGCCATAATTCCCGTAGACAACCAACAAAAATTTGACCAACATGCGTTTGAGTTTGTCCACTTGATTGCCACATAGTCAATTTGATGGTAGACTCTCTCTCTCTCTCTCTCTCTCTCTGTATTAAATTCAATATTAACAGCAGCAAATATCAACAACAACTATCAAATGTTTTGTGCAATGTTTGTCATGTCTCATTAAAAATTGATTGAAGCCAGCTTGGAGTGGAATATTTGTGGCTAGAAAGCTGGAAAGCAATATTCTAATTGTGTTTTAGCCATAAATTGGAAAAGGATCGGAGAGTGATTTAATTACAATCAGAACTAACTCAACAAATTATGTGTGCTTGCATTTAAATAATTGATAGATAGATAGATATACATAAAGATAGATAGATAATTAGTTGGTTAAAGTTGAAAGTAGCTTGAGCTGAGAGTTGCTGGACAGGCGGAGTCACAAGTTGCAAAGGCTTATTTGATGACTACTTTGCCTAGCAAACTATTTACAAACTACAGTTGCAGTTGATAATATTCATTGGTATTCTTAAATAACTACTGAGACTTGAGTCAATATATTTATATATTTATAAAGAATGTGATCTTCACAATTACATGTACTTCTCATTATCTTTTAAGTTATGCTGATGACGATTTGTCAGTGGTGCTCCCCTTTTAAAAAATCACAGATGTTTGTATTTATTCCTGGTGTTCACTTCCACGAAACCTCGAAACATTACTCATAGATGAATGACAAAATGTTGCATATGTATTCCATATAAATTGTATTCGTCTGGTAAAAGTCCCCCCAGCTAGTCTATGAATATCCTCTGCAATTACGGGGGAACTCTCGCAATCAACTCTACAATTTGTCAATGTTTCATTCGCTGACACAGTCAATAATTAACGTAGCTTGTTATATTTGATCGTTAGATTAATGACACGACTGTTCTGTCAGCTGCTCTCTTTCTATTTATCTCTTTCTCGCTACATGCTCTGTCTCTCTCTCTCTCTCTCTCTTCCTCCCGAGTAAAGTGCATTTGCTGAAGCTGAAATCCTGCCGATAATTACGCGTAAAAAGCAAATAAAACTATTGTCAACACATTGCGCGACTCGTAAAACTTGGTAACGTGAAACGGCCATATATATATATATATATATATATGTATGTGTATGTGTATATACTTTGATATTATGAGGCGGCGCCTGCGCAGCTGTTGTCAATTCCGAGCGAACCTTTGTTAGGGCTTAAATGATAGGGTGCGTGCCGAATCGACGGACTCTGATCCGCACTTGGGTAATTAAAATAATGTTCACACACAGCACATTTTCAAGGGCGGCCATGTGTGGCACACATTTCCCTTTATGGGGTGGAAAAAAAGAGGAAGGAAAACCAAAATTCGTAATAATACAATAGCTGTTGAGGCTTACTTATGTAGAGCATGTCATCTCGCAGCGCAACACATCAAAGGGCAACTCAAACACCTCACAAAACTACAACAAAATACAACAAACAACATTTCAAATTCAGCGCAAAAGCCTTGACTCTGCAACTGCTGCTGTCAGCGACAGAGACAGACTCTAACCCTCTCTCTCTCTGTCTCTGTCTCTCTCTCTTTCTCTTTGTCTTTGCACGTGTGCCGAAACATTCGTGAATATTTAATAATTTGCTGCTAATGTCATTAAAAAGTTTTTGCTTTGTGCAACATTTTGTGCGCCATGTTGCACTCACAACCAATTAAAATGTGAAAAGTTCACAATTTGCATACCCTGTAGACATAAAATACCTAAAAACAAAGCATACAACACAGAGAGGAAATATTTTGAAGGTGCAACAAATATTTGTAATATTAGTTGTGATATTTTGACTCCAAGTTTAGTTTGTTGATGAAGCCGTCCTCAGCTTAATTTTACTTTGACTATATGCAAACAGAGTATTTGCTAGTTGTGCACTCTCAAAGCAATTCCTTTTGCTTACAAAATCAATGGAAACTTGATTAAGTTGCTGAAAATGTTTGTAGCTAAATGCTGTCAAAGGAACGTCAGAGTTCCTCTTAATGTATAATGAGGATAACAAACAGCTTACATTTTCTGTTGTGCTTTTAATTTAAGTTTATTAAAATTCATTTGTTGAAAATTGTTCTATAAATAAATAAATCATTCAATTTGACTAATTAAGTTGTTGGAGCCATTTTTGCACTTTTTCTGGTTGATGGCATTTTAATTAGAAATTTTATGTTGGAATTTTAACCGAATCAATTCCAAGAATGCTTTATGCAACAAAAGGGAAAAAAATGCATTTTTTTATATACACTAGCTGGAATAGAATATTTGTAATTGAGGTAAAATCATTCAATAGTTTAGACTATGCATAAATATGCATTTTTTTACTGAAATAATATTTGAATTGAATAATTGCCAGTTTTATCAGCATTGAAGTTATTTATTGATTTTTTTGCTTTTTATTATTATTTGTATCTTTATTGGTAAATGCGATTGCTGCAAGAAAAAAGCTGTGTAGAAAATGAACTTTTATTTATTTTGTTTTTGAATTGCTTAGCAAATTTATATAAAATAAAATACCAGCATTATAAAAAAGGAAATAAAAAACCTCTACATTTTCTAACACAACTCTTTCTCTCTCTTACTTTTCTCATTACAGGCTGCCGCAGTTGCAATAGCAAAGATGAATTGATTTAGCAAAGAGTAAATTTTAAGGGTATTTCCATTGAAAGCCCAATTGGGTCTAAAGCAAACTCAATGAATAATTCGCGAGTAACGTGTAACGTGTAAAATCAGCAATTCAAACGAAAAATAACTAAAACGAATATCAATCAACTTGACGCAAGCAGGAAGCACTAACAACAACAGCAACAATACAAGGAAGAACAACTGAGGCAGCAACAACACCAACCACAACAACGCTCAACGCGTGCCACCAGTCAAAAAATGGCGGCACGACGTTGCCCGTTGGCGCCCATGGGGCGAGGAGGATATCAACCGCAAAGAATACGCATTAAGAGCATGCCACATATGTGGCTGCCAATGATGCTGGCACTGTTGCTACTAACTGTGGCAACAACAGCCGACCAACAACAGCAACAACAGCCCCCAACCAGCTATGCCGGACTCAGTGCAGAGAATGCAGCTCGAATGCTCGCTGGCAGTCCGGGCGATGTGGAAAGTACCTTGCCCCAACAGCAGCATGAACAACACCAGCAGCAGCACAGTGATATGTCGCTAGTGTTGCCACACGATACGTATCCGGGATTTAGCATCAAGAAATTCAAAACGCATCCGCTGCAACAGCCACGGCAACACAATAAGACAGCAGCAACAGCAACTGCTGCTGGAAATGCTGCCTATCACATGCTGGACAGCGATTACTCCAAATATTTCACTGTGCTCGATGATGGCGTTGTTATGACCACGGCGGATATATCGCCGCTGATTAATCGTCCCGTGCAACTGATTGTTGTCGAACAGACGCCGAATGCCACAAATACGCACAACTTGCAGCTGTTTGTGATGCATCGCAAGGATATGCTGCGCTTCTCGGGCTCCCTGCTCGATGCCAGCGGTGAGGTGCGTGAAAATCATCCAGCTGGCACGCGAGTAAGGGGCGTGCCCCTAATGCAGGCATTTAGCGGCTCCATCTTGGATGAGGAGTTGGCCAAGCCGAAGAAGGTGCGCTACACCATCATCGATGGTAATGTGAACGATGCCTTTGCCCTGCAGGAGCGTCGTGCCAATCAGAATGTCCAGTCCAATGCCAAGTCCTTGACAATTGAGGGCGATGATGAGTCGGGTGTGTGGCTGGTCACCAATCGTCCCTTGGATAGGGAGGAGCGTGCCCATTACGATCTCTCCGTGGAGGCATCCGATGTGGGTGGCCTTGATAAGACAGTGTCGAAAATACAAATCACAGTGCTCGATGAGAACGATAATCGACCCGTCTTCAAATCGCAGGACTATAAATTCGCCATCGCCGGCAAGAAGTCACAGAATATGGAGGGCAACAATAGCATTAGTTGGCAACGATTTGCGATTTTGGGTAAAGTGGAGGCAACCGATGCCGATGGCGATAAAATTGCCTATCGCTTGAAATCGCCCAGCAATGTGGTCATCATCGTGCCCCAAACGGGTGAACTAATGTTGGCCGGAGAACCATCCACAAGTGAACTGCTCCTCGAGGTGATTGCCCACGATCTACGCTATCCCAGTCTGCTCAGCGCTCAGCCAGCGAAGGTGCTGCTTGAATTCCTGGCACCCGAACCGGTCTCGTTCATCATGCAACACTTGGAGCACGATGAGGTCAATGCCCATTCGCATCATCGTGAAAAGCGACGCGTGACACGAGCTGTCCGTCCCACAAAGCGTATCGAATTCACCGAAGCCGATGGCGATACCGAAGGCAAATCCGTGTTCCAACTGGAGAAAGAAACGGACAAGGAGACGTTCAAAATACGCGACGATAATCCCTGGGTAACGGTCGAAACAAATGGCGCCGTGCGTGTCAAGAAGAAGTGGGACTACGAGGAACTGGGCCCAGATAAGACCATCGATTTTTGGGTCATCATCACGAATATGGGACATAATGGTGAGTGTTGTAAATTCTTCACTGAGCTAAGTCGTCGATAGGCAGCTGCATTGTTACTATCGATAATTATTGCCTGAACCCATTAAAGTTTCTAAAATGGGTAAAATTAATTTGTGTTAAAGGATGTGGCAGACAGAACCTAGTATAGACTATAAAGTCAAATCGATTTAATCAAGCTGTACAAATCTGAGGCACTATAAAAGCTTTGAATATAGAATATAATTTCTCGTTTGGCATGTGCAGATACATCGATAGCCATATAATATAACAATAATAAAGATAAAGTCTCCTAGATACATTATTACTATAAGCATTTTATCTAACTCGGAGAAAATACACACGATTTGTGTCAACCAAAACTTATTTTCATATTGAATAATCTTGTAATATCAGCAAGAGATGACTTCAATGTATCTTCAAAACGAGCTCTCTCTCGAGCTTCTTTATCTAACAAGACTGATAACCTTTTCGCTGAATAAGCAATGTTAGTTTAGATAAGCGAGTCAATCGATACTCTAAAATAGATTCAGACTTATTTGTTTGTTCTTTTCAACGCTGTACTTACAATTATCTCAACTGAAAATGTTGTACAAGGTTCTGGCACTGTTATTGTAATTAGGCGCAGCTCTGAGTATTATGTTATTACAATTTCAGCTTGATTTCCATAATTGGATTGTCAGTTTTGGTTTTCCACTTCACCTCTCTCTCTCTCTCTGTCTCTGTCTCTGTCTGGTATCTCACTTTGGTTGCATAATGTGGCTTAAATGTCTCGAGGCCTTGACAGCTAAATGCGAAGACATTTTGAAATTTGAGCAGACATCACAAGGCAATAGCAAATAAGCAGCAATCCCTTAATAGACGAAGCAGACGCAACTAAGCTTTGGAGTAGCAATTAAATTGACTAAATGGGTTTAGTGGAATACATTGCGAGCACATTTATGGCTACATTTTAGGGGGCTTATGGGAAAGCTGAATGGTAAAATCATTAAACATTTCGAAATGTCAAATGATATTCAAATAGACAACTGCAACGCCCAAAGAAATCAAATCAAATTTCAACAATGTCGCAAAGCTATTTTCAATAGTTTTCAACTAAACTCACACAGAGAAACTATCGAATTTTCATTAAGACTGTCAACAGCAGTCAAAATAGGGAAAAATACTGCAAATGAAAACTAACAAAATTTCACAAGCAAGGATAAAGTGTGGTCTCTTTTATCCCACTGTGTATATTCAAATATTTGGTTGTCATGACAAGTAATTACGTACGAAGTGAGCACAAAGGATATCACAAAGAGATGAAAGTACACATAGATTGAGAGAGAGAGAGAGAGAGAGTGAGAGTGAGAGAGAGAGAGAGAGAGAGAGAGGGAAATGGCTTTGTCGTTTGGCAGTTTCTTATTTGGTTTGCTGGCCAGTTATTTCAAGTGTAACTCAATAAGCAAATATTGAAGCATTCCTAACGGGAGAATAAACATGGCAAAGGACTTTAACTGAGCAGCCAATCAATTGTGTCAACCAATCTGACTGCCAGCCTACCTGGCTGACTGACTGACTGACTGACAGACAGACTGAATGAATGTCTGACTGACTGACTGACAGACTAACAGACTGACTGACTGACTGTCTCTTTCACTGTTTGTCCGCATCGCTGATTCGTTGGGTAAGCAAAAGTGACCAAATGTCATTGGTGCCAATGTTGCCAATTTGACATGAGTCACAAAAAGTTCAACTAGCTGACAGACAGGCTAATCAATTGTTGAAAAAATATACACTCGCTTCACACACACACACACACACTCGCATACATACACACAGCAGCAGCCGTCTATAACTTAAATGTCTGGCTGACGTTTGCTTTCGCCATATACCCTGTAAAATGCACTTGAGAATATGAAAATGCTCTTAATTTTTGATTGTAAATGGTATAGAATTAAAAAAAAAGACTACAAAAAATAGCAATTGAAATTAAAAGTTCATTGGAATTCAATAAAAGTCAATGACTAAATTAAAATGTAAAATAAAATTTCAAATAAATCAAAATGTAAAATGGTTCAACATTTATTGCAAAGGTTGATTGAAACTCTGAACAAATCAAGGGGAAGTAATACATTAAGAAGTGAGACAATACGGAAAGAATTGGCTTTAACATTCGTTGTATAAATCTATCTTGATAATTTCAGAGACAAAGTTGACTATAACGTTTTACACTTAAATGCAGTTTGTTTTACTCTCATTGCACTCAAAAGTTATGATTAAAAATTGTGTACGTAGATATTCATTATAGTTAAGAAAGCCTGCACAACTCTCGAATATTAAACAGAATAACTTCTAGTCCATCATTGTTTTTGGTTGCAGCTGCTGCTCTTTTTCCGCATTGCACTCGCTAATTGTGATGGGCATTGTAGACTGGGTCTCGTTTTGGGTCTGGGCAGCAGTTTGTGATTGGACATGTTGGGGCTGGTAGCTGTGACTTTTTATAGTTCTGTCTGTCTGTCTGACAGTCAGTTAATTAAAAATGTTTCATAAATTCATTGATGTTTGCTGTTGCAACAACTTCGTTGCACTTCATCTGTTTTTTTTTTTTTTTTGTTGCTGTTGTGCTTTTTGTGCGCTTTCCACTGTTGATTTTGCATACAAGTTTTATTGGTTTCCTTAATGCACTCGAAAGAAGATTCAACTTATTAAATATGCATGCGGTTCTTAAGTGCAGCACCGTAAAATGTGAATGAAAGTTGTGAAGTGATTATTTTGATTGAGTTGCCACAGGGATTGCGCTTCCTCCATCACTTAGCAACACTACAGAATTTAATATGCTTCACAGAGTTTCAAGAAAACTGTTTGTGGATTACACAAGTTATCCGTATTTCTACAGAATTTCATATGCTGCACAGAGTTGCATGAATGCTGCTTGCGGATTACACAATTTATCCGTAATTCTGCAATCTGTGGTTGACTTCGAACATATAATTACATTACGACAATAATTAATAACTCTGCACAGCCCAGCAAATTTCTCAGTAAGAGCAGTTACTATAAAATGTATGTATTACTTTGCAACACTAAGTTTGAAAAATTCTCAAGTGTCCTAATTTGAAAAACAAAAGAAAACTCAACAAGCCACTTGCCTACAAATACCCGACTCGAAAATCATTATCCTTATCCCAAGGCACTTGCCATCTACCCAATCAATACTATTCGACCAGAACTACACACACACACACACACATATATATATATATGTATATATATCATGTATCTGAGAAGAGGGGTACTTCAAATTTTGTATGCGTTGCACACATGTGTAGTACTGATTGTTACGGTTGTTGCCTCTTGCAACTCGAGTTCATGTTTGTCACGCACAGGCAACAATGAAAGAAAAAACTTCATAGTACTAAATAGGACACCAGAGGGGCGGAGAGGGACTGTTGGGCCACTTGTGCGCGCCAGGACATAAATGCCAGATAAACATAATTCATTTACCAGAATGGAACCCAAAAAAAAAAAACAATAACACTTAAAAATGTGTAGGCAACTTGTTAGTTAGTTTTTCTCCTATTTTCTATTTTCCTGTTAAGCGAAGTACAACAAATTTACGACAAACATTTTTCATTCATTTAAAATGCTACGACAATACACATCAGACAGAGACAGACAGAGAGAGAGAGAGAGAGAGAGAGCATGAGTGAGAAGGAGAGAGCAACCAGGAGAGAGCCTGCCAGTGAAACGAAATGAAATGAAATGCTATGAAACGAAATGGAAAAATGGAATGCCAAACAGCTGCTGAGCAGACGCAGATGAGAGAGAGAGAGAGAGAGAGGGAGAGAGAGAGAGAGAGAGAGAGAGAGAGAGTGCTGCCAGTGAGCATGCCAGAGCTGTGCTTATTTCAGGGGTTGGGTTATAATGCGGTCGCGTGCCAAGTCCAACAGGAAAATGCTCGTAACAATTAAAAGGGATCCTCTCGCACACACCCCCTCCCTTCTGCCTCCGCCCACCGTTTTCCACACTCCACCCAAAAACAAACACATGCGAAATGGGGTCTTTGTTAAGAATAAATTCATGATTTGATACTGATTTCAAACATTGCTGAATGACTACTTGGATGATGGGCGAGGGGGAGGGGGAGGGGGTTAGTTGTTAGAGGAGAGTTGATTGCGTTGCTCCAGTTGAATGGAGCGTGTGTTTGTTTTAGCAATTTGCAAGCATTGCAGTGCATTGTTTTGACCAAAAAAAAAAGAAGAAGAAGAAGAAAATACAGCAGAAATGTATGCATTGCTTCAAGGGTTGATTTCTGTTGTTGATGTCGTTTTTTATGCTTTGGCATTCCTTTAGTAATGCACAGTACATGCAGGCAAACATAAATGGCAGAGAAAAGGTAAAAGTGCTCAAAACGAGAGTGAGAAAGGGAAAGGGTAACTGTTATTGCTGATACCCTGTAAATATTTTGTAAGAAGCAGAAGTGTGGAGTTTTTGTTACATACACAACCAAAGGCAACTAGCTAAGGCATATATATATATATATATATATATTTGTGAAGGTCTGCGAATCTTAAATACTATAGAAAGAAGAGATACATATTGGAATACATCAAAATATATATATCTATATATATATATATATATCTCGTATAAATATATAATACAAACATCAAGTTTATTTCACTTCTTGAATATTTTCCAAGCTTAGAAATATCTCACTTGCCCTTAAGATATTGCTCTGGTTTCTGGAACATGATATATGAATGAATCCTTCAAGCATAAATACATATTTCATACATTCAGTAACACATTGAGTTTATTTCACGTTTTTAATGGTTAAAAACCACTCAAAAGTAAAGTGGGAAAATTTTAATCGAATTTCTGACTCGATTTTAATGTTAAAACTATACCCCAAAAAAGTGACTTAATTGGGATTGGTTTCAGCTGATAACTTTATCAAATCTAGGGCTTTAAACTATGCTCCATCAATTGTCAGCTGAGTATAGGGTATTCCCTAGTCA